ATATACTAGTTAGTTTGAAGGAAGAGATCATATATTGCTTTTGAAATGGTTTTCATGCTACGAAATAACATGACTTGTTTTCAAAACAATCAAATGCATATGGTCGCTATGATGACCCATAACAATTATTATTAAATTTGCATGTGTAACAACTGATTAACAGTAACAGTCTTATTAAACTGCATATTACTGTTACTAATTATCATAATAAATTGTTGTTTATGCTAGTTTAAGAAAGTACCCTGTTACCATAGCGATTTGAGGTGTTTGGGAAGTAATTATTTGTGTTTTTTGTGTGTAAATATTGACGATTTTTTGTGTGGGAATTTGGCGAGAACAAATTTATTGTTTTACTTTTCTAGGTACTGCTTAATGAATTTAAATTTATTGACTAAAATAACTATTATTATGACTGGTGTATGCTTGCGTGCAGTCGTAGAGAAGTCCACAGTGGTATTACATCGGCATCAGCAGAGGCACACTCTCAGTTGACGAAGTGGACTGTTTCAAAGTATTTGTTCTACTTAAATAACAAAATCCTTTTTTGAACTCATTTGAATAATGCAAGAAACTCATATTTTACGGAAGGCGGGTAGCATGTGTTTTAACAGTTGATATGTATATTGTATTTCTTCAAATAACGAATTATTGTCAAATTTATCGGTAATCAAATAATGCATTATAATAGGTATTTTTGATCAAAAAAAATTCATTCCTGATATAAAAGTGACAAATAATATTTCTTTTTTAAATTTACATATTGAAAAGTAAATTTTTCAAATTTGACTGGAATTTCTGCTAAAAAAGTTTAGTTGTATTACCCTGTGGGAGTTTTTTCTTTCAATCTAATGAAAAAGATTATTTGGTTATGTTTTCAAACTGTTTTTTTCAGTTTGTTTATCTCTTACTCTGAACTTTAAAATTTAGAATTGTTGATTATGAACCGATCTTTTCACACCTGGGCGCTACATTTGAACCCGCAACAAGTGCAGCATTATTGTAGTTTCTGTCTGTAAAAGTTTGTTTCTGCATTTGTGGGGGAAAATAAAATAAATCATTGCTTCTTTCACTGGTCGGTTCATGTCGCTAAAATCGTGTTTGAATTTCAAGAGATGTTACATGCGGCATTTCAGAACTTGTAAATAATGTGACTTTGATGGGTTTCTGTATTTAATTTAAATACTAGTTGTTTTATGCAAATTACATGCCAGCTAGTACGACAACATTAAAAGCTTTTTAAAAAAACTGTCGTATTTTACTACGCGCCCTCTCTCAAAAGCACATTTACCCTTCTGTATTATGGCATTACTCATTTAAAAAAAAAAAAAGCATTGTCAGAAATAAATTATGTAGTTTTTTACATTTAACCGTAAGTCATTCGCACAGACACCGCCAATATTTGTAGATATGTATACGTTTGTCATCGCATAAAATTACATTAGATTTATCGCTTGACTTGTTTAGTGCGTCTTATTTTATGGTATATTTAATACGAGTCTAGTAATATTCATTTGAAGTTTGCATATAAGAAAACAACTTCGAAAATGTTGAGAGTTCAATTACATGGTAGTGATATTGTTTTGTGTTTGACGAAATAAATGACGCTAATACAGTGAATGTTTATTATGAGCAATCTGGTTCGTCAGTTTTACATTGGAAGATTTTTCGGCATTTAGTCTAATTCAAAAATGACGTGTATATTCTCGTATTCTAAAGCTTTCAGAATCTATATAGTCCAATAAACTGATGAAAATTGATAAACAATTAAATATGTTATTTCTTGTATTGCATACTTTATGTTGTACTCCGAGGTGATTATAGCAGACTGCTCTGTGTTTTGAAACAAATATGAATGTTTTTGACAACTCAAATTATAAGATGCAAAGTGGGAAATGCACTACTGACATGACTACTGTAATTTGAGTTACTGTTAATAATAAACCAAACGAACGCTTGTGAATTTGTATTTTGCGATGAAACATTTTGAATAATCGAATATGATGAATGTTTGCATTTATGTCATTTTGTTCACACTTGTCAACGTATCTATATTCTACAGTGAGCATGCAGCCAGATTTGGAAAATCTAAATTGACGGAAATCTGGTGATATTTATAAAAACAAATTTAATTTCCTCTCAATATAGCTTGACTTTCTGTATTTATTATTATTATGTACTTAAACTGTGTATATGTAAAATAGTCCATTTCACGCAATTTTTAGTTGATTTAGTTTTATTTATGTCTTTTGCTAATATATTTGGCACTGCCATTTTATTGTTTTTTTTCCTATTTCTGACTACTGGTAGTTATTCCTCTATCATCAACCATTGGTAAAAAAAAGACTTTCTCAGAGAATAATTTCTTTTCCTGGTTACTATAAGAACACATGGTATTATTTTGCAATAGAGAAAAGGGTGTTAGATTACTTGTCCATTTCTTAAACCTATGAATACCACAATCAAGAGTTGTTAGCTTTTGCAAAATAAACCAGCCTAATTTTTTCTAAAGCTTTTTCAACGATTATAATCTGGACCTTGAATAAATGGTAAATTATGTAAACTTGGTTCAAAATTTAAAAAAATATGACAGACCAATACATAATTATGTGTTATGTTTTGGTGGAAAATTGTGGTGTTCATAGTGTTGAGGCTTTTGGACTTCAGTCTTATGGTGAATAAAACTACCTGAAATATATATTCGTTGAGGTTTTGTCTTTATTTGTATGAAATGTTTACGGTATGATTGAAATAATATTTTTATAATAATTTTATATTTTAGCAGAAACCAGATAAAAAGGCCTGAAAAAAGGTCTGATAAAAAACAAATGATTTCTTCGGCCATTCATACAGGGATTTAGTCACAAGATGGCAGCATATGATCTACACTTGTAAATTCCTTATAAGCTGTTTAATTCTCCATTGTCGTTTATTTATATCTGGGACTGGGCAGCAAGCTGTGATTAATTTCTGGGTTGATTTTATGTATGATGTAGGTCATGGCAAAATCTGCCTGAATTCCCGGTGACACCCACATATAAGCCCACCATGTTATGAATGAAATCATTTGATTATGGTCTATTTTGATGAAGTAAGGGTATCTCAACACCGAAACACTTAAATATTGAGCGATGTAATTCAAAAGTGTAAAATCCAATCAGTGTCTTGTCTCTAACGTTATTTTGTGTGTTACTGGCCTCTCTATTTGAATTTATAGTGCATTTTCTGCACATGAGAAAGTTGGTGTTTTGGTGCACAATTCCACCTAATACAGTCTTGTATGAATATTAAGAATGTATGTAGACAGGCTGAAAACGGGGACTTATAATGTCCATCTGCACCTGGGTCTCAGTCATGCCTGACTCATTTCTTACATTTCAGTTCAAAATTTTGCACACACACGCATCATATTATACATAGGCACATGCATTTGTTTCATGATTCACTTAAAGATGGCCGGATGTTGGCCATTTTAGTGCTAAAAATTCGTCAAAATCATGCATTTCTGCCATTCTGGAACTGGATCTCAGTAATGTATGGACAGATTTCAAATCAAACTTGGTATGTCCATTGACCATTGTGTTTTTGATGCACAATTTTTTTGTTTGCAGATTGAATTGTTTTAACAAATGCAGTTCCAGGGTCTAAATCTAACATCTTTGACCTATCACATTCAAACTTCACACACACACACATCATATCATACATATGCACATGTATTTGTTTCATGATCCAATTCAAGATGACCAAATGGCAGCCATTTTAGTGCTAAAATTCATCAAAATCAAGCATTTCCAGAACTGGATCTCAGTCATGTATGGGCATATTTCATTCTAACTTGGTATGTCCTTTAAACATAATTGATGCACATCATTTTTTTCCCCAGATTTGATTCAAAATGGCTGACTTGTGGCCATTTTATTTTTAACAAATCCTGTTTTCAGAGCCACATTGCTAACATGGTGAATCTGATTCAAGATGGCGGACCATCATTTTTGTGCTAAAAAAATGCATTATGAATGTCATTGACATAATAAAGGAAGGAATCACACAAATAAACTGGCTCCACTTTCTATCATCTCTGTCACATGAGTGTCAATAATTATTTGGCACTAATGTGGGCAGTCATTAAAATACATTGACAATGAGAAAGTATGATCAATTCACCCCATTTTTGACCCAGGGTAAACGGCAGCACAAAAAGCACAACTCTGAATCCACAGATTTTTCTTTTTTCTGCAACCTTGCCAGTGTTAGTCAGTTTATAGTATAAGCCCATGTAATACCTACCAGAGTCTGTGAGATGACGCTAGTTTTAGAAATACTCGCTCGATGTTCAATAGTAATCTTCAAATCATATATTTGCATATTCCACAAAAAATATGCATGTTGGAGAACGCGTACCATGCTCTCTGTCACTCTCACAGGTTTTGGTTGCTACTTTTTACGCTCGTTGAGAATTTCGCGCCGTTACAGTTGTACATATGATAAAGAGGTCACATGGAAACAACGTGTGATATTGCTTGAAGCAATATTGATATTTATTCAATATTGATATTTATTCTTGCGCAATAATATTTCGTACATTTTCAAATCCATGGCAACTGCCATTATTGCATTGTTAATTATTTATTATCTTTCTCTGTGTTCATGTCCGCCAAATATTCATCATGATCCCTAAAGGTCAAAGGTCATCCTGGGACTTTCTGGAAGATTGTTCTATAATATTAACAGTTTTAAATATTACACTTCAATTTTTGCAATGTTTGAACTTCAGTGATAGTTTCTGAGAGTTTCTGTTGATTGTGAATCTGACCCAACCCAGATAGTACCAGGATGTGTGACCTCTGGGGTCTAGGCCTGTATTTTACTACATCATTATGTCCCATGATGCACTGGTAATAGGAGTTTAAGGTAAACATTTATAAAAATACACATAACTAACAACCATCTCTTTCTGTATTCTCTTTTCCACATTCATGCATTCCACTGGAACTCTGTAGAAGAAAATTATCATTCTAATCTGCTGTGTTATTCTCGGGGTGGTGATTGCTGCGACCTTTGGTGGCGTCTTCGGTTGAAGCTTACTTTCTCAACCCTCCATTCTTCCCTTCATCTCTGTTCTCTTTCCTCTCCCATCCCTTTGACGCATCCCCCCTCCTTCCGACAGTATGTGTGTTCATAACAACAGACAGTTGAAGACAAGCATGCTGTAACTACATTGTCTTGTTAATTTTTGTTGTATGTTTGTTTTAATTAATTTATTTACTTACTTATTTGTAAAGTAATTCTGGGTAGATATATATATCATATATACCCAGCTGCTCTCCTCTTTTGAAAGAATTTATGGGTTAAGATGCAATAATTTTACATAACATTCAAACTGTAAAGTCTTGTATATGAAAAAAACAAATAATTTGAGTAAAATATGTGCTATATGTGAGTGACCGCTGTGTATGTCATCAACTCTTACAATCTTAACCGTTTATTCTGTGTACTTTATCCTCCCTTCTGTGCTCCCTCCCCCATAGCGTGTTCCATGTTGGTGCAGTCCCTGAGTTTTTTGTATGAGTGAGGTTGTTCCACTCTGGAGATGTGGGGTGTGGAGCATCTAAATGACGGGGCTGGTTTGTCAAAGTTTCTCTTCCAAGGATAAATTTCAGTTTCATAGAAACTAGACTATTGAATGTTGAAGGCAGTTATAGATGTTAGTGCAGTTGTTTTCTGTTTGAAAACTGCTTTCCAAATGAGCTTTAAAAGAAACAATTTAACTTCACATTGAGTTCAATTGAGAAACAGAAATTATGTGTTTTTTTCTTCACTGTTGTGAACTGCCTTTAACCAGGGGTGTTGTAAAAAAGGGATATTTAGTTGGGTTTTCAAAATCCCTCTACATCATCCAAGGGAATTTGTTTCAATGAAATTCCAGTTCTTCGAGTTAGAGCCTGATTCAAGGTACAACATTTACTTACAATACAGCAGCACTTTGGATTCAAAACTACTGCAGCATTCTTAACTCTTTCACTGGCCATATTGTTGCCTGTAAAAAATGTAGGTCTTCTGGATATTTTCTGAATTCTATTTTAATTTCAAAACAAACAGGAAATGTTATGGCTATGATTTTTCAGAACAAAGATTTCAAATTTTGATCAATTAAGTTTAGTATTTATTTGACCAGGACTAGTTTATATGTGGAAGAATACAAAAACTGAAAATGGTGGTGAAAGGTTTAGTTAGTTGAAGTAGTTCTGAAACTAATTTCAATGAAATTTGGTGTAAGGACTTATGTGATTGGTCATGGTGATTAGGTCTGGCAACCAATCCTAGCGCAGCTTTCTCCTTGTGTTTGTTTAAAGTTGTACTGTCTCTGATATTAATGAAGTATGGTATTAGAAGATTGAAAACGTATCATGATGTCAAAGAATAAAATATATTTCTAAAATCTTGGGAAGCAAGACAAAAAAATCAATCTGTCACATGACACAGGATTCCAAATTATGCTTAAAACAGCTGATTGGTTCATGCATGTTGAAAATTGGCTTACATCAAGAGACTATGGGCAGTTTAGCATAGATGAGTGTACACGTTAGCACACTGACTGGAAGCGTAGCCATGTTCAGGTCATTTGCGTTCTCTGATAATTGAACAACTAATTTGGTCACCCACAGGATTATTATTTTTTTTTCAAACTATATTCAGATCGGTTTTATCAAATGAATTGCTTGGTTGCATGACAGGATGTAACCATGGAAATTATTTGAGTTGGCTCATTAAAAATAACGTTTTGGGACTCGTATCTTTCAATATATTAAGTGGGGTCTAGCTTCCTAACTTTTAGAAAGTATATAAGGTTATTGTACATATTATATTACATATTACAATGTTTTTTCACATCTATAGTCAAGAATCTTTACTCTTTATGTACCAATTTTTCCATTTTTTTATGATGTGTCAAATCCTTTATAATACAGTGTACTTCTTGAATAACAGTACTATAAGTTATTCTGTCCCATACGAATGAAATGACGCATCGTCAGTTGACGCAGGACAGCAAATTTTTAACGCACAAATAAGGAATCAGAAGTAACTTACGAGACTTTCCTTCAATGGCGATTCCAACCCATACCACCCAACCATATTATGAAGCCAATATGAAGGGGAATGCCTTGTATGTTTGCTATTACAGTCTGTCATTTCTCTGGCTTTTTAAGAAAAAGTTTGACTCTGATTACACTTTTTGTCGAATATTCTGTCAGTCATTTTAATGTACATAGTAATATGTTGTATGCTGGGTAAAATGTGTTTCTATTTAATATCTATATCTCCCATATTTGGTCTAAGGGAATATTTGCATGCCGTACATGCGCTATGCGGTATAATAGAAGTATCCAGCATGCATTGCAAAATAAGTAATGGCCAAATATTCTTTCTTTTTAAATGTGATTTTTTTTATATATATATATATATATACCAGTATATCCGAGTAGCAGATTTTGATGGAGACAGTACACCTTTGAAGTATTTTCCGTGATTGTTATTTTGATGGTAAAAACTGTTTGGAGGATTGGTTTGAACTGAAATGTAAGAAAATTAATTAAAGTCACATTTTTTCTGTAATCACCAGAAGGTAGACTTTATTTAAACGAAAAACTATTGTTTTATCATTTGAGTTATGTATGTCAACTGTGAGGGCACACTTTATTTATATGCTTTCAAAGTAAGCGATTTTCAATTATCCTATCCTCGGGAGCGGAGCTATGTCACAAGATGTTCCACGTTGCCAAGACGCGCACCACTGTCCGATGTATTTCTATGGGCTCTGCACGAGCTGCTGTGGAATGCCGGTCGAAGAGCCGGTGAAAATACATGCGAGAAAATAACCTATAAGTAATCCCGAACAACAAAATTTATATACGTTTCACATGCGGGGGTGATCTTGTTACACTGTTCAGGGGACTCTCAACAACCATCCTAAACTACCGTTTTCTGAGAGTTTTGTTTTTTGGGAGTTTCGGCTTTTGTTTTCACTGAGAGGGTTGCCAGGTGGTGAAAATGCCCGGATGTCCGCCCCGGGAATTCTATCTAGTGATGAAGTGCTTCTATTGTGTACCGAGGTAAATTCGTGACGTAAAGGCTGTCAAGAATGCTGACATTGTTTTGATCTGTAGTCGTCCATTGGTGAAGGTTATATATTTAGGAAATTTGACTTTATTCTTGATGCTACACAACCAAACAGTTGTCAATTTGAATAACAATGCTTTCAGCCGTACACATACTTTTTAAGGCACAGAAGCGCTTCATCGCAAGATTGCGTATCAAAAACAAATTGTAATATTTCAGGAAAGAGACAAAGCATCACAGTATCTGTAAACTTTAAAGTCCCATGTTGTCATCCCTGGGCAGTTTACTAAAATGTTTTTCCTTGACGCCTGATAAAACAGCTTAGCAAGAAGTCACTGCTCTGCAAGAATTCAAAGTAGAGGTGTTTTGGAAGCCTATATGTGAGATCACCATGGCAACGACAGAACTCCGACAAATGAGCTGCTGTTTAATGTAGCTTGAGTGTAAATATTTGTATCCAAGAACAGGAGAGTGTTATTGTTGACTTTCTTTATGATTGCACTTATACTACAGCACTTTTTTTTTTCAATGAAATCAAAAATAGTTGCCCTCCCTCATAGTCTATTGCAGGCAGTGTATATTTTACAAAGATGTTCACAGCCATACTGAGTGAAGTGAAATGTTTCTAGCATGCTGATTCTGAAAAAAAAAAATCAGTGCAACATTTGAAGTGTGCAATAGAGACTGAAATAAGATGAACGTTATTGATTTGAGAAATAAAATTAAGCCATAATTTTTATCAAAAAAAAATATTCAATATAAATTATGCAATACCTAGAGTTTCATGTAGATGTTTGGGTCAAAGTTCAAGTACATATATGTTTGTCGTTGTTTTCCATGTATGGGGAGGGTGTAGTCGCAGTGGTATAAATCTAAAACTGAGCTCAATAATACTGAAAAAGAAAGTTTTGACATTTTTTCACAGTTACATTTTATAGAGTTTTAATAAAAACAATGTAGTGTTGAGTTTGTAGTTTTTATTGCTCTGATGATTTGTGCTGTTTTAACTATCATGATGCAACCAATCAAAACAGGAATTTGTGGTCACATGATAAAGATGTGGCCACAACTAAAAAATCAGTTTATGTCTTATTATTGGTGGGATGAACAAACAAACCATACAGTCATATTTGTAATGCAGGTTTGAAAAATAAATTTGATTTTCTAAATGCAGAAAGAAGTGGAGACACGTTTTATTGATAAACAATTGTCCCGTGTCTGATATCATGTCAAACTATGGACCGCAACATACATTTTTGAAAAGATGACTGACATGAAACATTATTTTTTTTTGAGAAACAAAATAGCCAACAGTGCAGTCTGTGAAAAGTGGCACAAAATTCTTCCAACTTATCTTCATACACCTATAAACATTGTTAACAAAATATTTTGAGATGTTTTGCAATCTTTTCATGATATATGTTGCTTATCATTTTTTTTTATAAAAAAAAAATATGTCCACTGTCCGTTAGTTCATGATGATTCAATACTTGCATCCTTTTTTTTTTTTGGACTGGATGGGATTATTTTTAGCTTCAAAAGCAACCTTGCCCGTAATTGCAATTGAACTAGGAGAGAAACAACTTTAAAACTGATACTGTGGCTGAAATGTGATCACTAAATTGCAGACAACAAAATGGCTTCTGGTCGGCCATTTTTAATCCTGTCTACCAAACATGAGACTTGTTTCAAAATCCACAATGTTTGATTCAATCCGTCCATACACGACAAAGATCCTGTTCAAGAATGGCAGAAATTGTTGAATTTTGATGCATTTTTTGAACTATTAAAGGGCTGTGATTGTCGTGCAATGAGTGTTCAAATTTCAAGTAAACAAACATTGTATACAATGTACCTGATCAGTACCTGTTTATGTAACAAATCTTTGAGAGTGTAAAATTACGGGATCTAATTAGTTCAAAGATATCCTTTCAAGGATAGTCAAAGTTGCAAGATGGTTACATTTAAAACTATATCACTTAGTTTGAGAAAATTTGAAAACAAATAATCTTCCAGTCCAACTTGTATTACTTTGTATTGTTTTTATATAAAAAGTGATTTTTCACAGAACA